CGGGACCTGCTGCCTGGGCAGCGGTACCGCCTGTCCGTGACAGCCGTGCAGAACACGGAGCAGGGCCAGGTGCACAGCGAGCCCGCCCACCTCTACATCACCACCTGTGAGTGCTTGTGGGTCTCTGCTGGATTGCTGCAGCACAAGGGAGGCAGTGGGATGACAAGGAAGCAGGCTGTCGGGGTAAACCAGCTGACCAACAGAGAGCCCTTGCTGCCCCAGCACTGGGTGTCTGCAGCAGGCTGTGGAGACAGAATACAGGCCCATTGCAAAGAGGGATGGGGGTTGCAGGTGCTGCCTGTTAGTGAAGGGCAGATGCAGAGTGACAGCTTGGTGATGGGCACTTGCAGCCCCAGTGTGTGGAGAGTGTCGGCGTGTTGCCAGACAGCCCTAAATGGCAGCCTGGGGATGATGGGATGGGATGATGGGACTGGCTGGGAGGTGGGTTGCTGTGCTGGCTCATGCCGGCTCACCCTTTGGTCTGCAGTGCAGAGGGATGTGGCTCCGGAGAGACGGTGGAGTCAAGCTGGGCACCCCCGGGTTCTGCGCAACAGGCTGCCCCCAGCTTTCCTGCCCGAGCTCCGCTTGCTAGCAGATCATGACACAGCTGAGGAGCCCTCACCAGCCCCCAGGTAGGCACTGCTCCAGCACTCCTGGCTCTTCCACTAGCACTCGGCACAAGCACTAGGCAGAGCCAGCCTCTTTTCCCAGATCCCATGTCCAGGTATCCACAGGGTCAAGCTGTGCTCCTGCTGGAGCACAGCCTCTTGCCCACCCGCTGGGGCCCTAAACCAGGCCGGCCCTGCTCTCTGAGCAGGTCCCCCCCCAGGACTCGCATGGAGCCTGATGTCACCATGATTGCTTCATGTAGCTGCCATGAACCCCAGCGTGTGAGGCTGGGACACCTGCAGTGCCCTGTACCCTTACGCTCTCCTGTCGCAGGTTCACGGAGCTGGTGGATGGCAGAGGGAGGATCAGCGCCAGGTTTGGCACTGTGCTGGGAAAATCCATCACTGTGAAGACACGTAAGTGCTCCGTTGCTTTTCTGTCCTGATCCTGTCATCCAGTGCTATCTCCTGCACCTTCCCCCAGGGTGAAGTGGCTGCTGTAGGGCTGCTGTAGGGCTGGGGGAGCCACAGAGGAGGGTGGAGCCCTCTCACCCAGCTCTGGGTAGGCAAACATCTGCCCTGCTTGCTAGACCCCTGCCAGGGAAGAGGGGTGACTCACAGCCAGGAGGGGAGCCCAGAGAGTGACCCTCACTGATGGGAGGCAATACTGACTGTGGCACGGCTGCCCAGGCAGTGGCCTCACAGCCCTCCAGCACAGCCCCTGCCTGCCCAGCAGCCTCAGTCCCCACTGCCAATAACAACCTTGCACCCGAGGAGGGCACCTGGGTGAGAAACCCCTCACTAGTCCAGCCTAACCCCCCATTTTCCATCCCCAGAAGACCAGGGACACAAGTGCCAGCCCAAGATACTCTAGCAGGCTGGGGAACCCCACGCCATGGGGTGGGGAAGGAGCCTGGCACACCTGAGGGCAAACCTGGGCTTGCTGCACATCCTGGCTCTGCCCCTGCCTCTGCAGGACTCTGTGTCCCACAGCCCTCCAGGAGGGGTGAGGGGATCACCCCAATTCTAGGGATGGCAACTGTGAAGGGCTAAAGCAGTGCCTCAGGCCTGGCCAGTGCCCCAGTACTGCAGGCAGGCTGGGTCCCCTGGAGGGGCTGCCTTTGGGTCTGGTTTTGGCCTGGAGGTGACATTTGACCATCTTGTTGTCCAGAGCCAGAGGCTCCAGTGAAGCTGGAGAACACGGAGGTGTCCAGCCGGGACAGTCTGGCACTGCAGCTGCATGAGGCAAAGAGCAAGAGTAAGTTCCAGGGGAGACCCACAGCAGCAGGGACCCAGCCCTGGCCCCACAGGCAGGGTGCTCGGCACCAGCCTGCCTTCCTTGGGGGCATGGCATGTGTCCCTGCCCACCATCTCTCCCTGGGAGCACCCTGGCATGCTGGGGGCTTGTGCTGTGGCCCCAGGGTCTGACAGCCAGGCATGTTTTGCAGGAGAGGGGCGGAACTGCTCCACGAATCCCTGCAGGAATGGAGGCACCTGCACCCGAGATGCCGAGTCCTACCACTGTGCCTGTTACCCAGGGTTCAAGGGCCGGCTCTGCCAGTTGGGTGAGTGCCAGGCTGTGCCAGAGGACCAAGCTCCCTCCTGCAATGCTAGGCTGGTGGCTGTCCATCACGAGTTCCCCAGGACGTAGATCACCCAGCACACCCTGTCAGCACCCACCACGCCCAGGCTCTACTAGAGATCAGTGTCGTGCTGGGAGAGGGGCTGGGCTCTGCTCTTGCCGCTCTGGGGAGATGTGAGAGTGCAGGTCTGCTCCCCACTCTTGGCTGAGCTCTCCACCTCTGTCTGGTAAGGCCAGGCCCCTGCCTTGCCCACAGAGTTGCCTAGGCACTGTGAGGCTGGGGGCTCCACTTCTCCTGGTGGGTCAGCTCTGTTGAGCCCAACACTCGAGCACAGCCAAGGAGAAGCCAGACGGGCCTCACCGGCCCCTTGCCACAGGGCACAGGCAGGCAGGGCCATGGATGGGCTCACTGATAGCTCCCCTCTCCTATTCCCCAAGCAGCCTGCAAGAAGGTGCCACACTCGTGCACACGGCTGTACTCGGAAACCAAGTCATTCCCAGTGTGGGAAGGAGGCACCTGCCACTACCTGTGAGTACTGCCTGCAGGTTGTGCTCCCCCCTTCCCCCTGTGCTCTGAGCTGGGGATGTCTCCCCATGGCTTGGCTTTGAGGAAGGGAGAGCAAGTGTGAGGCCGTCTCCAACCCCAGCTGGCAGCTGCCCCCTCCCCAGTGCAGGCTGAGCAGCCTGTCATGCCCCTGTGGGTGCCTCCCAACTGCGTTTCAGGGCAGGGTGTTCCTGAAGTGAAAGCTCTGTACTGGTGTTATCACCCACATGGCAGCAAGGTTGGATTTGGTGTGCGTGACCCCCAAACAGCAGCAGATCCCACCCAGCTCCTGGCTGCCTCTCCATATAAAACCAGAGGGCTGGGGGAGCCCTGCTGCAATGTCAGGGCATGGAAGGCTCTGGTGTTGCCCCCTGTCTCCTTGTGATGGAGGCAAAAAGGCCTGGCTGTGTGAGGATCAGCCCTCGTGCACCTCAGGCCTGAGCCCCATTCCTGGCAAGGTTGGCTACTGCAGCCTGGAAGGAAACAGGGAAGCACCCAGACTCCACCTCGGCACTCATAAAAGCACATCTTGTCCCTGTTGTTCCCTACACATCACCCCTCCACTGTGTGTGCAGGTACAGGAGAGTCTACAAGGTACACCAGGACGTCTGCTACAAGGAGAGCTGTGAGAGCAGTGGTTCCGAGAGGACAACCAGCAGGTACAGCAGCAGCACAACTGAGCGTGCCAGCCTTCCTGTGACCCTGGACAGGAGGATGCAGCTGGCAGGTGGCCCCCAGCATGCATGGGCACACTCAGGCTGGGGTGGACTGGGAGAGGGTGCAGGCATGACCAAGGCTCGGATGCCGGTGCTGTGAGCAATGTCTGAGGGGCGCAGGGCTGATGGTGCTCTCCTCCGTTCTCTTCCAGAAAATCAAGCAACAGTCACACACTGAAGAAGCCATAGAAGTAAGTACCTGCTCCAGCCCTCCTCAGCCACAGGCAGGGGCAGTTCTTGTACAGGGAGTGGGGGAGGAGGAAGGGTGGAGGCCAGGGCACACCCCCAGCTCACACCTCCCATGTTTAGGAGGTGTGAGGGCTTTGTGGCTGAGGGCTCCTGGTTGTGTCTGGGATGGAGGAGCAGAAGGCAGTGTTCTGCTTCCCCTTGGCTCTGCAGCTTCATGAACAAGAGATTCCTGCACAGGCTAAAGCTGGAGCTCTGGAGAGGGCAGGTCCCCTTCTCCCAGCCCGAGATGGGTGCACGGGGTGGGAAGAGGCAACTGCAGGGCTTTGGGGGGATTCCACACACCAGCTTAATTTTCCTCCTGCTCCTCCACAGGGTTTAAAGCAGTAGAAGCTTCATCTTTCCACATCTAAGGGCTTTTTGAACACCAGGAAGATCAGATCTGCTCACTGCGTTGAACGCTGCAGGGGCACCTTCCTGCCTGGTGTTAGCCTCTCCCTCTTCTCCAGCCTGTTAGGCAGCCAGGTCAGCAGACCGGGCAGTGCTCCCTTCCCCCTGCCAGCCCAGCACTGCCTTTGCTGGTTTGCCTCCCTCTGGCCGCCTCTCTGCCCCTGAGGAGCTGAGCACCAGTGCCCCCGAGGGGGCCAGCCCTGCTCGGGCCCCCCAGCCACTCTGCACAAGCGATGGGCTCCCCGCTCCACTCAGGGATCAGCCCAGCAACTTGCCAACAGCATCTGCACCAACCTGTTTTCATAATCCAAGGTTATAAATTACCTATAACCCTCAAATAAAACAGTTTAATGCAGAGCAAAAAGCCGTAGCCATCAACTGAAACATGGCCCCCAAAAGTCTGCTCGGAGATGTTCCAACCTCTCTAGATGAGTTAAAAATGGTAAGCAGCTCCGAGCAGCGAGGCGAGCATGGACAGTGGAGGCACATTCCTGTTTCCTCTGCTCTAGTAGGGGCAACTGATGCAGCTTCTTCTGCCTGCCTTTTTTCTTTGCTTTGTAAACAATCCCTGGTTTTAACCAAACTTCCAGCTCAGAAACCAATAGAGCACCTAGAAAGAATTTTAAAAGTGATCTCTAGGTGAAGTCTGTCAGCTGAGGCATGCCAGTGCCACCACACTTGTAACTACCCCCACACCAACAACAGGGCACAGCAGAGGCTTGGTGACAAGGCCAGGCCCACATGCCATCCCCCTGTGCTACTTCCAGCGTTTGCCTTCCCTGTGGCACCAGCGCTGTGGAGTGTGTGGAGGAGAGAACCAGCACTGCGGCAGGGCAGGCAAAGAAAGAGTGTAGTTTAGAAACATTCCTAGTTTTTGTGAGTTTGTATGACAACACTAGTTAAACATAGATTTGTGTATTAATGTACACAGTGTATATTATAAATTAATACATACCAGAGATATATCGCAGTTATGGTATAGAGCATTATGTCCCCAGCAGCGTGGGGTTATCCCGGGGGAGGCCCTCCCCTCCCACCTACCATCAGTGAACTCTGTAGCTCAGCCATATGTCTCAAGTGGCAGCCTGGAAGATGCTCTTGGAGCAGGACAGGCCTAGGAGTTTCAGTGCTCCTGCCACCACCCTCTTCCTGCCAGGAGCAGTGTAACAGTGCTCAGCCTGGAGGAACAGCTGCAGAGGTGGGTGGCAGAGACAAGGTAAAGCCTTGGCCCACTGGCCAGTGTGATGCTGCCCTCCTCCACTGCCTCTAGCTCTCATCTCAGAGAAGAGACATGCCTCATTTTCCTCCAAGGCTATCTGGTCCTGCTCCAGCTACCTGGCAAGCACATCAGCACTACCTCCCCAGGGCAGGAGAGGAAGCCACCTGGGAGAGCAGGGCAAGGGGAAACCCAGACCAGCCTCTGTTCTCTGTGAGGGACAGGAGGGTTTGGGGCCATGGTCAGAAAGCTTTTGCATCCCTGCCCTGTCAGCCATGAGATCAGTGCTGACACTGACTGTGGAGGTGAAGGCAGCCCTGCCGTGGGACAGTCCTGTTTCCACAGGACCTGTGCCCCCAGCCCCAGGAAGCCTGGCCCTGCTGCCAGCTGGCATAGCAGCCCACTGCCTCCCACCCCACAGCTGGCAAAGTATGTAATACAGCCTTGGAAATAAAATTAGGGGGGGTTGTTTTGTTTTGTTTTTTTTTTTTTAAATAAAAACACTTTATGGAAACTGGATTTTTTTAAGTAGTTGGTCAGTGGTCAATGAGGAAGAATGAGTGGTGTTGTATTTGATAGACTGGATTTATTGGTGCCCCACACATGGGGCCCTGCAGCCACCACTGCTGATGCTGGGTGGGAGCCCAGAGCACCCATGGGTACGCAATGGGGTGGGGGAGTGCGCCAGCATGGGAGGGCTCAGGCACCTCGGAGCCTCACCTCCTCACTCTGGGGCTGTTTTACTTCTTTCACTGTACAACTCATCATCTTCGTCTGCATATAGTGCATCCACTTCCTCCTCCTTCCCCTCTTCAGCCTCCTCCCGAGCCAGCAGCTTCTTGAAGACCTCATACTCCTCCAGGGTAGAGCAGGCCAGGCTGGCCAGAAAGTCTTTCTCCGAGAGCTGAAGGATGTCCTTCAGTTTTGGGTTATTGGTTTGTATCTGCCCTTTGTGTGGAGTCTCGTAGAGCCCTCGGCGCTCCAGGAAGATGTGCCGGTTTCGGAGCTCGGCAAAGGGCATTTGGAAGAGTCGAGCCTTCACCATCTCCTTCTGCCGGACTCCCATTCTGAAGTAAGCGTACTGCGGGCGGGACGGGCTGTGTCAGGCACAGTCCCATCCCCGCGGCAGGCTCCGGCTGGGGGAGGGATGCCGATCCTCACCTGGAAGTGGTGGTGGAGGCTGCACGGCTCCTCCAGCAGGACGGCGGGGCAGGTGCCCAGCACCTCCCGCAGCTGCTCCGCCGTGAAGAGGCAGCGCTCCCGCAGCAGCCGCACGGCCGCCGCCAGCCTCTTCCGGGGCACGGCGAAGAGCTGGGGGCAGCGGCTCAGCGCCCGCTCCAGCCGACCTGCAGGCACAGGGTCAGCGGGCCGGGCCGAGCCGGGCCCCGACCTGCAGGCACAGGGTCAGCGGGCCGGGCCGAGCCGGGCCCCGACCTGCAGGCACAGGGTCAGCGGGCCGGGCCGGGCCCCGACCTGCAGGCACAGGGTCAGCGGGCCGGGCCGGGCCCCGACCTGCAGGCACAGGGGCGGCGGGCCGAGCCGGGCCCCGACCTGCAGGCACAGGGTCAGCGGGCCGGGCCGGGCCCCGACCTGCAGGCACAGGGTCAGCGGGCCGGGCCGGGCCCCGGTGCGCCCCCCCGTCCTCCCCGCGCCGCCCTACCTCCGTCCAGCCCCAGGCGCCGCAGCTCCTCGGCGCGCTCCCGCAGCTGCTCCGTGGGCAGCCGCAGCAGCTCCGGGCTCTGCTCCAGCAGCGCCAGGGCGGCCTCGGCGCTCAGCCCCAGCAGCAGCAGCTGCGCCGCCACCGCCTCCCGCCGCTCGGGGCCGAGCCGGGGCTGCAGCCCCTGGAGCCGCCGGGCCTGCTCCTGGCTGAAGCCCATGGCCCGCAGCGCCGCCGCCTCCCCGCAGCCGCGGCGGGGGCACGGCCGGAGGGCGGCGAGGAGCGCCCGCCCCGCCACCAGCGCCCGCCCGGCCCCGCGCGGCAGCAGCAGCGGCAGCCCCGCCATGGCCGCGGCCCGGCCCCGCGGGGAGCAGGCGGGAAGGCCCCGCCGCGCTGCTCCGCCCCCGCCCTGTGGGCAGCGCCGGGGAACGGGGAGGAGCGCCGGGGTGGGAGCAGGGCCCGGCGCGGCCGTCCAGGCCCGGCTTCCCCGGGCATGCAGGGCTGTCTCGCTCGGGGCAGAGCAGAGCGGTACCGCGGGCGGAGCGCCGTGCCCGCTGCCCATGGCCCGCAGAGGCGATGCCGGGGTCATCTTCCCCGCCCGGGCCGGAGCCGAAGCACAGCCCCGGCGCGGTGCTACAGAACACAGTGTACCGGGAAGGCAGCTAGTTATGTGTTCAGATGGAGACAGTAGAGTCCAAAGCCGGACTCAGAGCTAATCTCTAGTAATTTACCTGGCTTTAAACTGAATCCTGTTGTCAGACAGCAGCTGCAGCCAGGCAGAACTGCTGCCTCTCCCAGCACTTCCTCCCAAGCAGCCTAACCCTGAGCTGCATCCCAAAATGTTCCTGTTACCTGTGTCTCAATCGAATTCTCTCCGTTGAATCTATTTTTTCTTTCCAACATCTCTGTCTCATCAAAATCAAGGACTACTTTCCCGGATATAGAGAGGACTCTGACATAAAAAAAAGACATCACCACCCCAGCCCCCTGCCCCCAAATCATGATTACATGTCTGTTTTTAAGGCTCCTTTGCGCACACAAACTCCAGAAAACACCCAGAGGTATTATCACTAATTTATTCCTTCACTTTTTAGAAAGATACAAAAACTACATATAAAAAGTAAAAGCAGACAATAAATATATATTCTCAGTTATGGACAATTTGAACAACATTAAAATCTTGGCCCTACAGCTTTGAAGCATGTCCTGGGTAAGAACACTAATAAACTGGGCACACATGGGTATCAGCAGGCGACCTTCGGTTGGGAACTACCCTGCTAACACAGTTCAGACTTCTATAAATCATTGCTGGATGAAGAAGCCTTCAGGAGGCGGTCTCACCTGGCTCAGCAGAGATGTACACCTCTTCCCAGGTGTAATCAGCCAGGTTCACGGGTTGCCGCAGCCAAGGATCCTCAGCTAGCACAGCTAGAGTCGTGCGCTCCTCTGGAATGGGGTGCAGAAGCCCAGCCATGAGATCCATGAGACCTGGGCAGAGACAGCAGAGGGATGGCTCAGGCTGTATTTTAGGCAGGCTGGGAATGTGAGATATGGTTTATACTCAAAGATTGACAACTCGCCCAAACTCTGCTGCACTGAGCAGCTTTTAAAATCATCACAGAGCACACTGGGGAGCTTCTTTTCAGGCTTCGCCTTTACTCGTGGTGAAAAAACACTGCTTATACTTTCCCACTCCTTTAAAAAAGAGATCTGCTCCTTTAAAAAGGCAAATGGAAAGAGCTCACCATCTGACACAGGGCGAGGAGGATTCAGGACAGCTGCCAGGGTCTCCTCCAGCTCACAGAAGGGATTCTCCCCGAGCACCAAGGTGTAAAGGGTGATGCCAAGCGACCACATCTCCAGCTCGGGGCCATGGTACCTGTGCAGAAATAAGCTTGCCTAAACTCAGATTGCAAGTATATACCTATCTGCAAAAGAAAGTAAAGAGAAAAAAGGAGGTTGGCAGCCCTTTTCCCCAATTTTTATTTTAACACAGGAAGTTTGTGAGAATTCTAAGCAGTTTCTCACTTTTTTGAGGAGTCTGCATTATCCTTCTCCAGGAAATAAAACCACCACAGAATGGCCAACCAGTTTGTGTTGATGAGTGTGTGTAATATGTACCCAGACTTCCACACACGTAAGCTGGTGACAAGAGAACTTACCCCTACAACTTCTTCACCATAAGCCAAAACTATCAAGTAAATATTTAACTGGAAGAGCAAACAGGTCCCCCCAGCCCTTTCAAAACAAAAGAATTCCATCTGAGAAAACATGACAGTTCCTTCACACAGTAACAGGGAGAACTCCCAGGGAAGAGCTGCTCGCTTCACCTTCCATCTCATTCCCAGCGGGAATTTCCTCTCCTCCTGGCATTGCTTCTTCCCCCCACTCTGTTATGAGGAGCTGCCCGAAGGACCAATGAAAACAGCAGTGAAGTGGGAGCAAGATACGTACAGGCACATCCAATTACTGCAGGTACCACCCTGGGATGGGGAGTCTTCCTTGTGGAGCAGGTACAGGACTGCCAGCTGCTAGGTACAGAGTACTTGGAGAGGGAAAGAAGGGGGAAGAGACAGCCAAGATTCAGGCAGCACATCCAAAACAGCAGCAAGAGAAGTTGCAAGAGAAGAATCCTCGAGTCCCAAGGAGCACAAAAATCAATGAGGAGATGACCAAGGATTAAACTGCAAAAATTCAAGTACAGGGAAGCACGTAGGAAAGGAGAGAACACTCAAGATGAGAGTGTGAGAATACGAGGCACAGACACGCAAGGCAGGTGCTACTGACAGCAATACTTGATTACACCACCTCTCTAAAAGAGCAGCTTTTGGTGGAGAAAGCCTGACAACAGACTTAGAAACAACTCTGTACATATTCAAGCTTTTACAACTGATTTCTGTCACCACAGTGCCCTACTTTGTATGCACTCAAACTTTCACAAGCGATTTCTGTCACTGCAGTGCCTTGAATCTTGCTCCAGTTCCCTGTGGTTGGATACTGTAGCAGAGTTCCAATGGCACAGCAACTTGGTTTCTCTGTTCCAGCCCTGCACGCATGGGTTTTTGGTGTGATGGCACAAAAATAACTTTTCAGAGGGTTACATACGGTTTGCCAGACAGCACTTCTGGTGAGCAGTATTCAATTGTCCCACAGAAGGTATAAAACAATTTCCCAGGTTCCAGGTAGGCAGCTGAACCAAAGTCCACTAATTTAATTGTGAAATCTTCAGCAATGACAATGTTTTCATCCTTGATATCTCTGTGAAGGATGTTCCTACAGTGGAGATACCCAACAGCTGAGACAAGCTGAAAGAGGAGCAGAGAACTAGGTGTTACTACATAGAGGTGTCCTGGATAAGCGATGTGGCATCGCAGTATTCCAAGAGTCACATTTTGGCTTGTTTTGACACCATCTAAGCAAGATATACATCCTAATTATGGTAACTGGAAATGATCCCAGGTCCGCCTGTCAGCATTGCTGCAGCGGGTGCTGCAATGCTCTTGGGAGAGACAATTACAAAAGGCTTTGCTTGCTTTCCTCTCACAAATGTGCAGGAGGAGGGGATGCTGCAGTCATGATGTGATTGGTTTTTTTTTTTTTTTGGTGAGAAGCTTCAGAACTCACTGCTACAGTCCTGCAGGTTACTCTATTTTTATCCCAGCTTCGTTTGGAGGGTCTTTTGGCTTCTCCAGAAGGATATTACTGTGAACCTCCCATACTGCAGGATGACAAAGCATTTAAGAGAACAGTTTGGTATAAATAATATAGTCGCTCCTAAATTCCATTCCTCTTCCTGCACAATTCACACATTAGTGCCATAATTAAGGATAGCATCAGGATGATACCACCTTGGAGACACTCGTGATCCTTGCAATGCATTTAACAAGAAAAGCAGATGGCTGAGGGAGAAAAGTTTCTATTTATAATCCTCTGCAGAGAAAGGCTGTACAGATCTGAGAGAACAAGGCAGCCCTACAAACTGCAGGCTGGGTTAGGGAAAGGGCTGAACCATCACAAGGCTAAGGGGACATCAACACTCCAGGAGAGGGGAGGGTGGGCACAGCAGGGATGTGGGGGAGGTGAGCATGTGCATAACTATTCCTGCATACCACAGAGCATGGAATTTACTCCAAAACTCATGAGGGGGAGTTACCTGGGGACTGCTGCTGCAGTTAACTCGCTGAACAAAGGACAATTCAGCTCTCAATCACCTACTGGGCAAGCTCCTGACTCACAGAAAAACTACCCTGAGTTACTTTGCATTATGCCACTCTAAAATCCAAGAGAACTTCTTGATTTAAAGAACAGAGCCCTTTACCCCTGTAACCAATCTAAACAAAGCACTGAACTAAGTGAAAATGTGGCTTTTTGTGGAGCTTGGGGCAGCTTCTGTGAGCTTTCTTCCTCCCTCAGAGAAAATGTGACTACTACATGAATGGCATCCTGGGGACAGGGGCTGTGTTCTGCCCCAGTCACAGCTGGGGGGCCATGGCTCCACTGGAAACCCTTACAGGCAGTAAGGTCCTGCAAAGGCTTCTCTGTTACAAGTTTCTAGGTAAACCTTAACGAGGGTTCTTCAGGCAGCATTTCAGTCTGCATTAATCAGTCCTACAGACTAATGAGGAAAGGCTCTGCAGGTATTGAACATGACTCCAATTCAGCACACCAGCTGATTAGCCTGTATGAAGTGAAACAGGGCCCTGGTTCTTATATTAGCCAAATCTTACCTGCATGTAGCATTTGTGTTCTCACCTGTCTGAATATATAACTCGCTAATGGCTCATCCAAGTTGGGCTGATTATCAATGAATGTGAAGAGATCCAGACCCGAGCCATGCTTCTCCATCACCAGCTGGAAAAAGTATTCATTTTCAAATACATCCAGCACCTATAAATAACAGACTGGTTTAATCATGTGCTTCATCCTCAGACAGCCTTTTTTTTTTTTTAATAAACACTGCTCTCCTCTTGGGAGATTTATATTGATGTATATTATAATCTTCAAAGTCTCATTTCACTGAGCACAAACGTTTCTTGAAGAGAGTACAGAGCTAAAACCGAGAGCAGAATTAAACCTAAGAGGAATTTGCTTTCTGAAGAAAAAAAAGCAAAACCAAAACCAAAACCAACAACCCCAAACCAAACAGGACAAAGCAAGATATGTATCCAGATTATTTATTGAAGTTGTACATGTCCAGATGTGACATCACACTTCTGAGATACGCGTATTATCATCTTGAAATAGTGTACAGGCTTTTTTTCTGTTAAGAGTCACATCTTCAGATCAGTTTGGGGTAAAAGTGTCAAAGCAAGCGATAGTCTGCTGTGACACACACTCCTAAACAAAGCAGGACAGATAGGTTCCTTTCTTTCCTGAAAAGGCAGATTCAGTGCAGGATACTTCACTCCTGAAGAGGAACAGGAGACACCAAGTATTCAAATGAACCACCTGATGCAAACTGCATTCACTCCAAGTCACTGTACCTTAATGATACTGGGGTGCTGCAGCTTCAGCAGGATTGCAATTTCTTGAGTGACTCTCCCCAGCTCAGGATCATCTACCCAGCAGTCCTCCAGCACCCTCTCCTTCCAGATGAACTTCACGACAACCTACACAGACAACAGCATTCAGCATCGCCTGCAAAAGCACCGCTTTGAGTGTCAGGTAAGTTAATCTCCAGGAACTCAGTCACTCATATTACTAGAAGGATAGAAGCAACTCAATGGGAATAGCTACAATACCTTTAAACATCTTTAAAGTAATTTAATCCTAGAAGCCAAATGATGCACATAAATGCACGTATTTATCACTGTTCTGAATTCCAAAGGCTTTGACAGGCCAGCTGTCTTATCAGCCAGTTACAGCAGCGGTGGCACAGGGGTACAATGGAGGGAAATGAGCACTTAACATCCATGCAGAGAAATGTGAGAGCTTGCTGATACTTCTGCTGATAAAGAAGAGGGTCCCATAACATAAACATCTCTACTCCACATCCTTGAGTCCTTGGCAGGATAAAGACTTTGAGGTTTGCCATTTTCTTTAGTAACAGAAGATTAAAACCTGTAATTCTGTTCAGCTTATGTTAACTTCTTTCAACAGGTTCAATTAGCTACATTCATCAGTTCATTAGCTACATTCATCAGTTCATTAGCTCATTCTGCACCTGTTGTCTCCCATTCATAAATCAATGCAAATATTTTGCTGTCCTGTTTCCATGAGGTTTGCTTTCTCAGATTTCTGTTTAAACAAAGCAAAACCCCAAACTACCAAAGAGAAGCTTTTAATAGTGCAGTGTTGACAGAATATGAACACTCCAACCTTTCAGTTTTCATCCTAAATAATTATTGCAGTAGAGCTAAAAGAAATACTTCACCTCCTGATGATCCTTCTTGCTCCTGGCAGTCCAGACAAAGCCAAAAGCGCCTTTGCCAATAAGACTGAGAGTGCTGTAATTTTTTGTGTATTCTCCCTCACATGCTCTTAATCCTTCGAGCTCTTCAGCTCTTCGGGAATTATTGAAAAGTGAAGTTGATCTGATGGCCTAGGTACATATATACAGGTTACAGTAGCGAGAAAACAAAATGAGCAAGCCACAGGATCACGTTTATAAAATGAATAAATACCGAAAAGAACAGACACATCTGCAAGGATTGCTAAAAGGAGAAATCTTTGGTTATGGTAGCGACAACCATCACCAGACAAGTTAAGTACAGGTCTAATCTGCAGTACATTTCAACACACAGCAGTTCCTTGGAGTCTCCTGCAGTTTGGAACAGTGTTGTTCAAGTTGGAAAGGTAACTATACTAACCCGCACACCAGAAATGTTACAAAATAGCAATTTGAAACCATTTCTTTTTAACATAAAAGTAGGAAAACAAAGAAACAGAAATATCCACCCCACCACCTCATGACGTTAATTTGAAAAACTTTTTGACTTGAGCTTCAACTTAACAATCAAACAAGGAAAGAAATGCTCAGTATTCAAAGATAGGATTTCTTACTTCTCCAAGACTGTTTGTAGAAAGATCAGCAACAGACTGGGCAGAGCTTGCTAGGCTGGAGAGCAAAAGCTGAGTCTTTGCTACAGCTTCCTTCTGGCTCTGTGAAAGGTCTTTCACCACCCAGACACAGAAAAGTACAGTGGGGTCCTGCAGTTCTGCACATTTCACCTCAAAGAGTATACCTGTAGGAACAGGTGAGGAAGTTAAAATGGTAGAATGCGACTTTAGTGTTTAGCAAGACCACAGACAAAATTCTGAGCTCTTAGCAATGAGCTATTTATTTGGGGAACACCTGCTCACTAAAGAACCATCAGAGGGGCTGACACCAGCATAGCTATTCTAGAGGTACCTATCAGCTACCTCCACAGCTCCCACCTCCAGCAGAAACTTTTGTCAGGGTCCAATTGTGATTATTCATTTTGCATTGTTATTCTAAATTACATAAAAATGGAGATTTTACAGCTTTACAGTGGAGATTTTTTACAGTGTATTTTCTGTTCAGAAAAAGTTATCAGGTTCAACCTTTTTAATTGTGTTTTAAGAATATTTCTGACTTTTCAGTAGGGATTAATTTCTTAATAACTTTGTATTTTATACCACCTCCTTTTCTAATATCCTCTGAATAGACTTAAATACTGATTTTTCTCCTAGATGCTTCTTCCTTCCTCTCCACTGTGAGCTTCTAACCATAACTGTCTGCCTTCTGCAAAAATGGGGGTGAAAAACAGGACCCTGGTAAAAGTTTTGGGAAGGGGAGAAGATTTAACTTACTGAACTGTGAACCGTCTCTGTGACAGCAATTCCCAGTGTAGCTGCCTTCCAGGATCTCCCAGATCAAAGGAGCTGCTGGATTCAGCCTTCCTTCTCGTTTCACCGGGGTTGATGTTACTTTCCTCTCCATATTTTGCTGCCCCTGCAGCTGACCGAGTTCTTCAGGCCCCCCTTTGCCTTTCTGGGGATTTCTGCCGGCGTCGTGCCCCCCAGTTTCTGCAAGAGTTTCGGCGGTCTCGGGAAATGCTTTGGAGGATTGTTCAGGGTTTTGTAAATGCCCCTGGAAGGCCAGCCACCCAGAACCAGCTTCTGTGGCAACACCACTCAGCAGCTGCTTTCCTTGGCCAGCGGAAAAAGCGCTGTTTGTCTCAGTCAGCATATTGGAGTCTACTGCATCAGACGAGCATGCTCCTACAAGAGCTGCAGTAACACCTAAAGAATTGTCTGAGTTCCCCTTGACACAAGCATTCAGACCCAGTACCTCAAGACCGGAGCAAATACAGTTCAGTTCAGTGTCTGATTCTTTAACATCTTCAGAGGTTGTGGCAACTCCTGGTGCAGAAGCACTGTGACCCACTTTATTTGCTGAACAAACATCATAGACAGTATTTCTTTCATGTGCAAAGAAGGCTGGAGCATCATTTAGCAGGCAGTTTTCAACAACAAGGTGCTCAAGGCTGGAATGCTCTGCATCACACCTCGAGTTTGTTTTTGATGCCTGACCTGTGACCACGTGGCTTTGAAAGTCTTGCCTGCAGTCCAGTGCTGTCCCTGGCCATGGCTCATCCATTGTTGGTGTTCCAGGTGAGTTACAGGTAACAACAGAAGGCAGCTTCACTGGGCCATAGGATGAGGTGTTTAGAATGTCTTCTAGCCTAGAACTAACATGCAACCAGAGAGCATCTTTAGAGAATTATTTGATCCTGAAGTTTCCACTGTTCTACACTGTTCCACTGCTCCGATTGTGTCAAGGCAGGTTTTGGGATAAGGCTCTCTGGTGGGCTGACAGCCCATCAGTAAGCAAGGCTGTCCTCACTGCAAAGATTCAAAGCTGACAGCGACATCATGGTGCCAAAAGAATGAGAAAACTGTCCTGCTGTATTCTACCTACTCTTGTTACCATAGTCACTATTTAAAACCTGCACCAATTGTTTTAAATTGTTTGAAAGAAAAAGGTAGAAAGCTGTTGGCACAGGCATCCAAAATCCTAACAAATTTTCCAAATAAGAGCAGGTACACTCAAATGGCACTCTTTCCCTATGGATAATTTCCTTCTCTAGTTTAGCTTAATTTCTAAATATAGATCATAGATCATTTCCCATCACAAAAAAAAAAAAGCCAGTACACATGGCAGGATACTTCCAGTTCTGAGAACAGGAGATCCCTTTTCTGTCCAACAGGAGATGGATGTCCCCATCCATCAGTTTAACCAGGGTTCACTGAAGTCCAAGGTATTGCACAAGGTGTTTTGCAAACATCTCCATTAGTAAAAAAGCAGTGTAGAAAAACAATAAAGCAGAGCATTTACAACCTAAGTATGATATGAGAGACATAAATCCAGGAGAGCACCAACAGCGGGACTGTCAGTCTCTTTAAAAAGCAGCAAGAACTGTGCTGGAATAGTCTATATCTTAAAATGGACAGTAAATACTGTCTGAGGGTTAGAATTTTTAATGCTTAAAATTTGACTTACAGTAAACCATGAGCATCCTATATGTACTTGTACAGAATTTCTAACCTTGTAACAGGAAAAAGACCTGGAAAGGTAGAATAAAAATGGCTGGACTTCAGTAACACAGTACCCTGTTTTAATGGATGACCTGACAGTTACACTGAGCACCAAAAAGAATAACATTTAGAATTCACTCCAGGTAATCTGGCTTCAGTGCAACACCAGCTTGAAGGAGATAAACATCCGCTGTTTATGATGTAGTGAAGGCAGAGCCTAATTACCTTCCCCAGTCTGGGTGAAGCATTTGGTCCCCTTTAGAGCTGGAATTCCTGTAACTTTACAATGGTGGGTTGTGCAGATCCAAATAAAAATCTAAGGTAGGCAAAGCTCAGCCTGTCTTGCAAACAGCACTCAGATTCTAAAGACAGCAAAATGTGGAAGGCCCTTGTTGCACCTTCCCACAGGCATCACACTGGTGAAAAAAAACAGGTTTTGCTGGTGATTGCCACCACAGCTCTTCATTTTCCCAAGTGAATATGCAGTTCATGAAATGCCTACCTATTAGTGGGGGTGGATGCCACTCCAGGAGGTGAGGGAGGAGAGAAGAAACTGGTCCCGTTCTTTTGTTTATTCTCATCGTGTATTAATTTGTCATCTTTGTGTCTTTGTTCCAATTTCTGCTCTTCATCTCGTGACAGAAGGTGTGCTAAAGATGCAGCCAAGGAGCTGCTGTCTGTACCAAAGAGGAAACAAAACCATACCAACTTAACCTTTTATATTTAGTCTTCAGAGGCTATAGTGATTAAAAATAAACTTGGAACTGCCTCAGTCTGTCTTGTCCCTAAGGAATTGAGTATAAAAGGCTTGACTAAGGCAAAACAGTCCAAATATGAGCATTCCACTCTACTTCATTTTTAGAAATCATCACATGCAGCAATCTACATGTTTTAGGGCTGACAAAATTTGCTTTTCTATCAGAGCTCTTGGACAGGTATTGGTATCATGGGTTAGCTACCTAAAGTTCAGAGACCTAAAAAAAGGCCAATAACATATAGAGACTGGAATTAAAATGATCATACAAATAGCAGCAGCAAAAAAAAAAAAAAAAAAAAAGTCCAAACCACACACATACACTGTCCATTCCAAGCACATTAAATTACAAGGTTTGTACTGGATTTATATAATTCGCTGAAGCTGTAAGATAAAAAAAGTACAGCATCTAAATATGTTTGGAAGAACAGGACACAAAGTCCTTTCGTTTTCCAGTGACAACAGATCAGAAGCAAAAACATGAGTTTGAAATATGAAGTAAACCAAGTACTGTTGCTGCAGAAGAAAGTAATGAGCAACGAGATCAGAATCTAGAACAATCCTTCCATTAGTAAAGGCTGAGTGCCAACAATGCTTCCTCACTGAAGAAGTGAATCATTCCTAGATTAGTGGCACCATTTCATCAAAGAATTACCTAAGAAACCGTCTAGGAACTCTTCTTTGTTCCAGTGGGGTGCATTGGTTTCAATGCAGATATGCCTTTCTAAGCAAAGAGAAAAAGAAAAGGGGGAAAAAAAGAAAAGGAGGGAAAAACAAAAGGAGACAAAACCAGCAGAAGAGATCTCCTGCAATATGGATGAAAGTGTGCACTTGTTCTCTGTGTTGGGCTGAGCTAGCTGGAAAGACAGATTTGGAAACATGAGGCTTCCCTGCTTCTGTTTATTCCTGTTGTGTTTAGAGAAGTAAAATTTTGATAAATTTTTCATAAATGCAGCAAACTGCATCAGAAGAATATGTGATGCTTCCCTAACTGAAACACACCACAGCAACATAACATTGAACACAATGTTATGTTGCACAACACACAATGTTATGTTATGGCCAGCAACACAAGCCAATTCAGAAGAATACTAGATTTTTCCCTTAGAATATTGATCCTAAGCATCTACAGCCCTGCTGCAGTATAGTCACAAAAGCTGTATTTTACACATCTTAAAATACTGAAGGATCCTAGCAGGGGAGGGAGGGGAAGTGCTTGTTAAATATAATGCATTCTCTGTTGACAGTGTAACTTCCAACTTGGAAATTCAGATTCATCTTCCTGGCAACAAAGAGAGAAGCACAATCTTAGGTGAATAATTCTCTTTACCTAAAGTTATAGTGGAAACCCAATTTAAAAACTGCATGGAGGGATGTTGCTTTTATGAAGAATGTCCCCATGCTTGTAGGTGAACCTCTAGTCCCTGCTCTTTCTCCCTTCCTTGCAGCAGCCAGAGCCAGCTGGAGGGCAGGCAGCAACACCTTCAAAGAGGCACTCACCCTCTGTCCCCGTGGAGTCATCCAGAGGAGGGAAAGGCAAAGAACACTCACTGCTTCTCTCCATGTTGTTATAGAAACCGGGAATCAGGAATGTAATGTTCTAAAACAAAGAATGAAACCTTATAAAACTAAGCCAGCACTCACAGGACGGGGGCAAATGCTAACAATCCATGTTCATGAACACAATTCTCATGGATAGCCAGGCAAAAGTGATCCACATGACTAAAGGAGAGCATAGGACTGTGCAGTTTGCTTTGGGCTACTTGAAATCCATACCCAGCTCCTCAGCACTGCAAGTCTTAGCAATTACAGCACGGGATTGGGGCTGTATCATCCTACACCTCACTTACTGAACATACGGAGCACAGAGGTTCTGTCACAGACAACAAGGAGTGTGAAAGACAACTTCACAATTCCAATGGATATGCTGCCAGATGTAGCAGTCTTCTGGGAGGGTTTAAGCCTCTTATCTTACCTTTCCCAACAGTTCTTTCTTCTCATAACCAAAGAGCATTAAAGCAAAACTATCGTTGATGCCACAGATGATTCCATCTGACTGGACAGTAATAAGACCACTGATGGTGGAAAAAACCACAACTGTAGCAGAGTACTGATAGCCTGGGAGAGAGCCTTCTGTCTGCAGAATCCCATCCTTCTGCACCCTTGCTTGGTCCTCCTCCAGAAGGCTGGCTTGCAGCTTTAAACTGAGAGGAAACACGTTACCCTCTCTGGATCGGCCTGCAGCTCGCTGGGTCCTGAGGTTCTAAATTAAAGCAAAAAAAACCAACCAAACAAAACTCAAAGAGAAAACCTCTAACTAACCGAATGTTTTTGCTTTATTCCAGTATTCATATAAAATGACACAGGAATTCTTAGGAAAAAGGAACAGGAAAAGAAAAACAAACCGAACCCGCGAATATCAAAATGAACAATATGTGGTTTTCTAAGGATTTGGAACCCAGTGTTGAACTCCTATATAAATATCTTGATGATGAGGACCAGCCCATACTGCAGCTTTTCAGCAAATTAGGCATTCATGAGAAGGCCTCTTTAAACTCCCTAGATGCCCAGTTTCATGGCATTTGCAACATCTGGGTATTCTCTCACTCCTCAGACAGACACGATTAAAACAGACTAAAGAATTCAAAGGAACCTCAGAGGGCTTACAGAGACAGCACAGTGTCTTAAAAAGCCACAGTACTGGAGGAAAGTGTCTTTCACCAGGACAGATTCCACAGTGAGAAGTCAAGGCTTGGTCTCATTCCTAGTTAGGAACTCTTCAGACAGCAGCTCCACAAATAAGCAGCAAACCCTTTTCCAGGGGAATTAGGGTCCTCTCTGAAAAAGCTCTTTTCTGTTACATGAGGAGGGAAAATGGCATGCACACATGTGTTCCAAGTGGGAAGGCTATGGAAGAAATAAGGTTGGTGCTTATACTGTACCTTTGGGATTTTTTTGCCTAGAGGAGGGATCTGCACAGAAGGAATCAGGTCCTTTATGTGGAGCCCAACTACTTCTTCCAATGTTGGGTAGCCATGGAGATGGGCAAAAAGGAGGTCACATGATGTAATCTCTCCCTTGGGAAGAAAATTTACAGGACTGTTAAAATTTCAGCGTTTTAGCCACAGTCCACTCAATCCTTTGACAACGGTTTCTGCAAACATCTAAGCAACGGAAGGAAATTTCATTCTGCAGTCCCTTGGTGGACACAACTCACTCAATAAAAGCAGACACAGCATAATGCAATACTCTGACATCACTGTGCAGGGAGCCTGCCCTTTTCCTGGGGGAGAGGCAGAGGAGTCCAGCACTCCTCACAGAACTGTTCCTCAGCAAGCTGATCCCTTCACAAGAGCACCCACACCACAAATAACCAACCCCTGGCCAAACCAACACTGCTCAAGTGTAAGATGCCCCTGAGGAGAGACAGCATAACTTCATGTGGGTTGCAAAACACATCAAGGAGAGCCACATGGGAGATCCATGCACAGGTCCTGCGTGCACCATCCCGGTTTCAGGCACTGCTGTGGGCACAGCCCGTGTTCACAAACAGTCATCTGTGCCCTGCTGCCTTTTAGATACGTTCAGCTCACACATAAACTTGTCATCACAAGGTCATTTGATTGTTAGGAAAACACTCACGTCAACCCTGAAGGAAACAGAAGCTGAAAGTCTTTCCACTGGTTCCAGCACAACCACACAGCGCTGGGTGTCCTTGCTTCTTATTTGCCTCTGCCAGACCGAGACAGGGATCTTCTCGTTGAGGCGGCCTGTAACATCCATCTGTCCCCAGGAAGCAGAGATGGAGACAGCACTTACTAAGGTTGTAGTTACTTAACAAGAATTTCAAAGAAGAGTAAGACACTGAGGCAAGATATCTCCCTGTCACTGTTAGAAAAACATTGTTTCTCGGCTACTCCTTATTATTTTATGAGAAGAAACACAGTTTTAATATAGAGATGAAATACACAAAATGTTACTTGTATATCACCTCTCCCTGCCTGAGGAAGACTAAAGGCACTTCCTTCAGCATAATAAATGAGCCACTCTAACACCTTGCATTCAGTGAGAAGTGCCTCTCAGAGGTGCCTCTCAGGATGCCCAGTGGTGCAAATGAACACTCCACGTTAGTAACATAGTTCTTACTTTGAGATGCAAAATCCAGTGGTTTAACTTCTTATGGGAGCAGATTCTTCTCAGATCAGAAAGTGTTTATTTATCTTATAGCCTGCAAGGTTTATATCAAGCCTTTTATGTGATCTTGACGGAATGGGTTTATGAATTAGACAGTGACTCCTATAAAGTACTTGGAATGGCTTGGAATTAGTGCCTTTACCAGATATTTGATTTTTATCTTGGGTTTCACTGAATCAAAGTTATGTTTTTTCTTTCCCCCCGTATCCAACTGAGGATTCAGGAAGATAAAGCTCTAAGATACTGACAATTTCAGTACAAAAATAACACATTGGGAAGAATATGAGCTCATTTTCCAAGGATTTTCTACTGACAGCTCGCAACGGTAGCAAAAGAAAATAATTTTGAGACATTTCTCCTGCAGTTCTCTTATAAACAACCCCATTCTAGGAAAAATATCCATTCTATTCTTTTGCACAAACTATGGTGTTTTGGCACAGATATTTCACTGGCTTGTAACTTTATAATATGCACAATGCAATTTAAGACAATTTATAATATATTTTTAAGGACCACACAACTGGGAACTTTCCCATAATAGACTTTTTCCATGTTAAGCAATTATATTGATTTAAGTTTTTTTAATGTGTTTTAAGTTCTGATTTGGTCAAGCCATGGTTTAAAAGTTTGCAGATGTGGGAATTCAGAGATGGTGGGGAATATTTCCTTGAACATTTCACGTACCACAGTTCCTGAAACCACCGATGACCATTCATAAGTTTCTAGGTACTCCTCACCCACAGCTTCTCCCACCTCTTGACTGGGTTTGGATATCAAGTGGGACAGCTTTTGACCAATGAGTTCCTGACTACTGCACCCAAGCAGCTTGCAGGCTCGATCATTAGCCACTAAGATCTAGGAAAAAAAAAAAAAAAACAACAGAAAAAACCCAAACCAACACAAAGAATAAAAGCTGTAAGTTTTGTTAATAGACCATCATGTCCTCAAGTTGCTGCTTTAATGTCTTGTAATATCCCTTCCTCTTAGCGAAAATGGAGTGCTTCTTTAGAATTCTGAGTTCATTAAAGCTTCTTATTCTGGGACATATCTTCTTGGTTAGGAGGTTTTGAGACACTGCTTTCCATTTAGGTTTCCTGCTTTCTTTTAACTGTATATCATTACATCCATGGAAGTAAAACTGCAAAGCTGTACTTGCAGGCAAAGCCTGAGCAAGCCACAAAATCCTGTCCAGCCTCTAAAGTGTGCAGTGATTATACCAGCCACTGACACACTTGAGTCTGTGTTCACAGAGCAAGTCAGGATTAAATGCCTTTAAGAGGGGTAAACCCAAACTGCCAGTTCAAGCTAAAAAATGGCACAGATCTTTAAAGTTGTCAGGATTCAATTTTAGATTCCTTTCAGGACAGAAACAGAGAAATACTTCCCAACATAAAAGGCATATTTACTGGGGCAGATAAAGAGACCTTGTGCTACCACAAACACATCCCAGGGCGGGTACTTTACATAGAGGAGGCTTGAAGCACATTTTGCTTTTTCTTTCTTCCCTCATGCCACTTCACAGCTGCATTCTTATGGAATCATAGAATCACAGAATAATCTGGGCTGGAAGGGACCTTAAAGACCATCCAGTTCCACTCCCCTGCCATGGGTAGGGATACTTTAGAACAAGTTGCTCCAAGCCCCGTCCAACCTGGCCTCGAACACTTCTAGGAATGGGGAGCCCACCTCCCTGGGCTGTTTGAAAAAAGACTCAAGACATCCATGCTTCTGCCATTGTATTGTGTATTTTGCTAACTACAACCTGCAATGGAAATAAACTCGTTGTCAGTCTTTAGAAGACTGCTGAGCTGGAGCAGACTGCAAAATGCCTTCATAGCACTCTGATTACACATAGGAATAACAGTCATTTTAGCCTGTCTGATGTCATACAACCTGCACCAGTCACAGAGAGCTTAGTGCAGCAGGCAGTCCTGCAAATACCTCTGTTGTGCTGCTGTCCACGGTGAAGATGGTTTTGTTTGGGTTGCGTGCAGCAGCTGGGAGGTGCTGGCTGGATTCCTCCAGAGCAGGGACATGCAAAAAGGAGCAAGAAGCAGAACTTCCAATGGAAGCAGAGAGAGAGGTGGAATCCCACTGAGCCCATGAGTTACCAGTTTTGCTGGAACAAATGTTACGAGCTGTCAGTGAAGACAAACAGTAAGAGCTCCATTTCTCCCCTAGGAAAAGAGAAAGATCAGCAATGTAGCTGTAACCGTCCAGGAGTGTCAGAGGAATGAATTAAAAAAATAAAACAGACACACTTCTAATAAATGTATCTTTTGGAATCACAGCCACTGGAACGTGTAAAATCAGTCCACAGATTAAAAAAATTTGCCCAGATCCATAAGTTTCAACCAGACTAGTTAACTTTCATTTTTCACTTAGCAGATTTTAAAATGTTTTGAAATCTCTCAAATGAAAAATGAAATGGTTATTAAATAATTGCAGTAAACACTCAAGCCCTTATTAAACACTGCATTTGTCAGAAGCCAGTTATTTAGCTGTTCACACCGAAATACCTGTGCCCACACCAACGTTTCAAGCTACACAATGCCAAGTGATTGTACTAAAATCTTCAAAGGTTCTGCCTGTAAAGAACATTTCTCTAAGAGGGGGCATAAGCAGCCAAACACCATCACTCCAATCCCAAATCAGTAAGGAGCTTTGAAGGTTTAGCAGTACTGGAAGAAGCATTATGAACAACTCATCAGAAGGACATTTCTGATTTTATGCAGTGCACATAGCATGAACACACTACGATAAAACAAGGAGACCTGTATCTGGACACACTGACAGAATCCAGCATAACAACATCTTTCTCCTCATTTGGAAATCTTTTGTGGTTTAGATAATTATAGAAGATGGCAAGGTGGTCCAATGGCAGGCAATAAAAGTTGCCTGCGCAGAGCACCTATCTAGTAATGCTTTCCCTGTAAACTCTCCCAGCCTGCAGTAATCTGCAGCTCAGGTGCTTATTGAACAAGTGTATCCTGGCGGATACTTAATGCTGTCACCTCTAGGTTTGGGGAAGGGGAGGAGGAGGATCTGAAAGCTTCATGGAAACTCAATCTCACAGTACAATGCTCACCAGACAGAGATGCTCTAAGCCGACAGAGTCCAGAGAGACGACTTTTCCTCCTCTTGTTGCCCCAGGGGTAGGATCTACTTAGCTTATCAGAATCATTCAAGCAAGTAAGGACTAAAGCCGCTGATGAAGGCAGAAGGCCTCCTTCAGAGGCGCTAAAAGCCTTGGCTGCCATGATCACGCTCTGGTTGCCACGCCGCGCCCAGGGAGCTGCAACAGAAACAGAGGGAACTGAATCAGCCTGGCGGGCCGGCACTGACGCTGACAGGGAGCGGTGCCTTCGAGCCCAGGGCACAGCCCTGTAAGTTACAGCAGCGCACCCACTCCTTGCGTGTCCTGATCGGCGTTTGGTCTGTGCGGTGACTCGGCTGACTTATCCTTCTGCCCTGGTGGTGTAGGACACCTGTGACCGGCGTGTTTCTGCCGGATCTGCTGAGCACCCACCCAGCACCCTCTCCCCGTTCCGGGCGGTTTTAAAAGCAAAAGCTTTGGTATTCTGGGAAGTCACTTCCAGTTTTGAATCAGCAAGTGCGGCACAGCCTCCCTCCCCCACTCCCCCAGAGCGCTGCCCGGGCCCCCGCGGCCCCACCAGGACAAGACAGCACGGCACGGCACGGTCCGGCACGGCACGGCACGGCACGGCACGGTCCGGCACGGCACGGCACGGCACGGCACGGTCCGGCACGGCACGGCACAGCACGGTCCGGCACGGCACGGTCCGGCACGGCACGGCACGGCACGGCACGGTCCGGCACGGCACGGCACAGCACGGTCCGGCACGGCACGGTCCGGCACGGCACGGCACGGTCCGGCACGGCACGGTCCGGCACGGCACGGCACGGCCCGGCCCGGCCCGGCCCGGCCCGGTCCGGCACGGCCCGGCACGGCCCGGCACGGCACGGCACGGCACGGCACGGCCCGGCACGGCACGGTCCGACCCCCGCGCTCAGGCCGCCGCCACGGCCGCAGGGCGCCAGGGGGCGGGACACAGCGGCCGCGTCAGCCAATAGGCAAAGGCGTTGTGAGAATGGCACGGAGGTGAGCCAATGGAACGCCAGCGCGGGAGAAGGCAAAAGAGATTCGTGTCTCCCGCCCGCCCTCCCTCCCTTTCCCCGCCGCCGCCGCCGCCGCCGCACGCGGGGCCCCGCGCCCCGGGCTGCCGGCCCGGAACACCACGGCCGACCTGCTCCGAGGGCGGAAGGCTGCAGGTGGGCAGCGATCCTCCGAAGGATTTGTAGGCAGAAGCGCGCAACGCGTCTGGCCTGAGGCGGTGGTGGGGAGGAAGGAGGTCCCCGGACACCTCCCGGGGGGAACTACAGCTCCCAGGAGGCTGAGGGGCGCAGCTGGCGCGCGTGCGCACGAGGGAGGGACAACAGCCGAGGCGCTGCCCTGCCCCCTGGGCGCTCCGCCTGCAGGTGATTGGCTGCGGCGCGGCTCCAGCGGCGGGCTCTGATTGGCTGGGCCGGCGGCGGGGGCGGTTTCCGGAAGCGGCGGCGGGAGGAGGAGCGATATGGCGGCGGAGAGCGGAGCGGGGCCGCAGGAGATGATGGAGGGTGAGAGCCCGCCGGGGCTGCCGCGGCTGCCGCGGGAGTCGGGGCGGCGCGGCTGGCTGCTCAGGCACCGCCGCCCGACGGGAGGGCTGCCAGCTGCGCGCCGGGGGACTTGTGGCCCCCCCGCGCCCGGTCAGCCCCCGGGTGCCCACCCCCAGAGCTGCTGCCCGCGGGGCCGGGTCCTGGCGGGCCGCCGGGCACGGGGGGCCGGTGTGTGTTACCGGGGCATGGCGTGGTGCTGCCCCCGGCCCCCGCCCGTGGGGTTCCGGGCGCCGTAGGGGGAAGGAGAAGGGTTGTGGAGATGACCGTGGCGTAAAAAATAAAGATAATAAGAAAGAAACCTTTTGACTGTCGCTGGTTTTCCTTAGTCCCCCGGTGAAAGGAGAGCAGATATTGAGGGGGGGCCGAGGAGGAGCGAGGAGCTTCAAGTCCCAGGCCCAGTGTGGCCACCGGAGCTGTGACTCTGTAAATATGAAGGGATCTGTCAGGTTGTTGTGGGGAGACTGTTGCCTTTACCTGCAGGGATTTTTTTTTATTGATGCCTTCACTTCTTCGTGTCATTGGTACTATTGTACATGATACTGATTTTTTTTCTAAAAGCTTTTAAAATGTAATAGTTCTAATTCCATCTCCGTAGTCTTTGGAATTGCACTTCATTGATCTAAGAAATTTCCTTTTTCCTCCAGTCTTCTTCCCAGATTGTTGGTTTTAGGAAGATGTGATGGGAGGAAAAAGTGCATCCAAAATCAAAGTAGAAACAAGGGGTAAGAGGCCTTTTATTTAAGACTAAACCTTTCATTTAGTTAACTTAGGATTTCTACTAACTGCATAGTGGTATCTGTGACCCCTGGTTATTATTTCTGCTTGCTGCTCCTCCCCTGTGCCCCACTGCTGGAAGTAGCCTAATCCTGCCGCTCTGTGTCTCGTGCAGTTGACAAGCGGATCGAGTCGGAGGAGTCTGGGGACGAGGAGGGGCGGAAGCAGGCGGTTCGCCTGGTGGCAGACCTGAGCCAGCAGAGCCTGAGGGATGAGCAGAACGGCGAGAACTCTGCAGGTACCGTGTCAGCCCCAGCGTCCCCTGGGGGCAGCCCCCTGCACCAGCCCCCCGCGCTCCTCCTGGCCGTGGCGGTGCTGGTTGTCGGCGCCAATCTGCCCCAGAGCAGGCTCTAAATTTGAATAAATGGTAGCGTTATCGTGGCTGGAATAAAGCTGCCTGCTTCTTATGGAAGCACCCTCGATTTTCTATTTTTTTATTTTTTTTTAATTTTCATATTTGTTTATCCATCCGCGTTTCGCTTCGAAATGTTTAATATCGAAACGCAAAACAATTTTATTCATACTTTTTTTGGGGGTGGAAATGCAGAAAATGAATGTGGAAGGGTGCTGGAAATGTTCACTGGAAATAACCCCAAGCATCTTTTCATAATTCTGCTTTAGTTTATGTAGTCTTTTACCTAAAGAGTTGCCAGATTCCTTTGGAAGGCAATGAAGGCTATTTTTAGGTGGATTGAAGGGAGCTGTCAGTATTATTTCTTTTTTAATTTAAATTTAATTTAAAAATTCTAAGACATACCAAAATTGTATCTTTGAATCCTCTCAGATTCAAACTTTTGCTACTGTTCCTACTGTTTGTATTAGAAGACAGGGTAGAAATCTTGACAGACTTTTTTTAAGCCTGTGCATGTTTGGTGGGTGGGTTTTCAGTGGCTTGCATGGAATTTGTCAGAGCAGATCCATTTCTGCAGCCCCTGTGTGGTGACATGATCGGGGCTTTTGGTGCTAGCTGACAGTCTGAAGTGTAACAGCATCCTTTTGATAGAGATGTCCATGTAATTATTGTTGGTGTGGTACTAGAAGGGAAATAATGCAACCAATTTTAATTCTTTTTGACTATACATCTACTGCAGATCCCTTCTCCTCTCAACCTTGCCCATTGGGATTTGCCAGAGTATTTTTCGAACTAGTAAACTGTTATTTAAATCTCATGTCCTAACTAAATGCACTCTACATAGGTCTGATTCATTGCTGATAGTTTAAAAACCCTGTATATTAATTAGAAAATGCTGTGGTGACGCCTGTGAAAGGGGACACTTTGCAAGCTGTACATCCCAAGCACTGTGTGGTTGATACAAAAATGCAGATAAGACAGAGCTTGCATGCCTGGAACTATGAGTGTTTACTCAGCTTGGTATGACTTAGCTGTGTGTTTAGGGTTATACTGTGCACATTGTTCCCCTGGAAATTCTCTTAAAGCAAACGCAGAAGTGACGTGCTTTTATTCCAGTGAGAGCAAGAAAAACACCTCCAGATTTAGTTGCTGAATTACATTTGTGTACTATTTAATATAATGACTCTATTGTTACTTCTTCCAAACTGTTAACATTAAAAAAACTTCTGCTAGGGCAGAAACCAAACAAAGGAATAATTTTTGAACATTTGAGGTAGCTTTCACAGCCAGCTTTGAGTTTCTCAGCTGCAAGGAAAATTAAAGAGTTTTCCACGTTTTTCCACGGAAGATCATAAGTAGAAAGAGCTTGAGCAGCTGAAATTTCAAATTCATCATTTGACTAATTCTCTGAGGAGTAGAGCCTCTGGTTAGAAAGCTTATAACTGAGCTATTTTTAATATTCTTCGTGCGTATGCAGTTAAAAAGTGTAGTTGGGCTTTTTGTTGCTTTAAACGCCTGTGAACTTATGTAACTCGGCAATGACTGTTCCAATGCTGTGGAATTTGGGGTTCCTGAGTGGTGGATTTTTTTTCCCTAGCTCTGCAAAGCCACGTGTCTCGCAGGCATGGGTTACACAAAAATTCACTTAGGGAACTTCACTGCCAGGGCAGTGGGGTTTTTTCCCCTCTTGAGAAACGTGCTGTGTTGGGGAGTGTGGAATAAAGCAGTTTGCAAGGGAAAATGCTGTTATGTTAGAGTGTTTTATATCCAGTCAGTTCATAAAGTGACACGTAAATGACTGTAAATTTGCTATAATTCTCCTCTTCCTCTCCTCTTCCTCTTCCTGTACTTTTAACATTTTCATACCAATACTGACAGCTGATATCAGATACACATCTCACTCAGGCTGCCATATGGAGTGCTTTGTACACAGCACACAAACTTCATGAGGGTTGGCTCTATTGCATAACCGCAGTGCCTGCCTGTTCAGTTTTAAATTGTTTTTATTTTAGTGAGTTTGATGTGTGTCCTGTGTGATTTGGTTTTGCATGCTTGGATTTGAGTGCTGTTTTCCCCTGCTGGCTCTGCCACGACTGGTCTCTCAAAGCCATATGGCAAAAAAATAGGAGGAGCTGCCCTTTGACAGATCCCAGAACAGAGTATTTAACACGTTGCCTAAATCAAATGATTCAAGCCTGCCAACCAAACAAAGTCTTAAGAGGTTGCAGCCTTGGTAGCAGGAGGGTAGGGTGTCCCATTCCCTTGCTGAAGTGTATAGCTTTGATCTGGAATGAAAATAAGGAAATGCAGGCGTTGCCCACGGCTAAATTTCTGACAGGCAGACATACCTGCATCAGTTCTGGTGGCATTTCTGTCCTGTGTTCAATGTCCCCAAGACTCCCAGCTCATTTTGGATCCCCAGAATAAAATCTATGTTTCCTGCTAATTTAGACTGTAAAAAAAAAAATAAATGAAAAAATTAAAAGATGAGGATTGATCTTCAGTCTTAACTTCTGTCAGTCAGTTCAGTGAGTCTCTCTCCTGTTTGAATGCCCAGGCAAGAGCAGCAGCCCAAACACAGGAAGGTCAGTGGTGATCTGTGGACTGTCAAACCCTTGTAGTTTGATGACAGTATTAAAAATTGTGATGCTTGCACTGTTTGTCCTTACACTGCTACTTAGAAGACCAAGCACCAGTAGGAGAAATGCTTGTTAAATACAGGAACACTGGGCATTTACAAGGATGTTGTAACCATGCTGGGCTGTGAAAATAGTCACTGCTAGTGGGTTAATGGCATGAGCTTGCAT